CCCAGCCTCTTGCATCTCCTTTGTTTAAGAAAAAGGTGGTATTGCAGGTAGCCTAGGGTGCCTCTGTGTGGACCTGAGCATCCGGTAGAATAAGCAGATGTTTCTATCGTGACAAAGTTGTGTATCAACGCAATATCCCCTGTACTTCAAGAAGAGTGGAAGGAGAAGGGAAAGCAAAAGCAACTGTTAAAAAAGAGAAAGACGGTAATAAAAGAGAGTTATACAAATCTTAGGGCATTGGAGGAATTAGGGTGCAACAGAAAACTCTCCAAAGTACTCAGTGCAGAGAAAAACAGATGAAAAGGTTTGTTTCATCCATCAGAGGAAACTTTCTGTATTTGACTCTGCCCGAGAAAGCTGTAGCTGTGTCATTTGTGGGAGAGAGCAGTAATTCATGTAAGAGGAGCTCTTCACCACGTTCAACTTCTCATTTTTCCTCAGTAAACCAACCTTGAAACTTCTGCTTGTGGAAAAACTTGTCAAAACTCATCACCCTAAACTATGAGGTGTGACTCGAAAGTGAGGGTTGCTTCCTGCGTTGGACAAATGGCAGCATGCATTTTGTTGGCTGAGACCTGTGCTCTGATACGATGCTGGCTTTTGGGGTTTTTTTTGTGGTATGTTTTTTCTTTTTTTTTTTTTTTTTAGCTAGTCCTGTAACTGCAGTCATGCAAGGCAGACGCAGGCCTAGGTAGATCCTGTCTCCTGGTTTTCTGAGGTAGTGTCGGTGACTTGGGTTACAAAGCAAGAGCAAAGCTTTAGCAGCTGGGGAGCAAGGGTTTTTCTCTGCTGCAGCTTTGTGCCCCAGTCACCTGGGGCAGCGCAAGTCTCTGCACCCTCAAATGGTGTCTGGATGGAGCATGGAGGCTTCCTAGGAGGGCTGGAGGGTCTTTGTCCTTCTTCCCTCTTCCCAAGAGACTCTGTATAGCCAACGTGGTAAAGGCAAGGCACCAGTTTTATCTTGGTGTGTGGTGTGGCAGAGGGAAGAGTGTAGGAAGCTTTGGAGAAGTGACTTTTTAGGTCTTTGAGCCTCGGTAAGCTGTGAGCTGATTAGCTAATTCAGTAGGCAGTGACGGGTGGTAGACAGGCAACGGAGATGAATGTAGGTTAGAAAGAAGGTGTTTTCATTATAGTTACAGAGCTCTGTGAGAGAACAGGAAAAAATGATTAGTGTTAAACCTGCACTGAAGTCCCTCAGAAAATAAGCTGGGGTAGCTGAGACCAAGACTGACTTTTGGTCTGTCTGCAGTTTGCGGAGGGGCACTCTGGGGGCACGCGTACGATCGCATCAGGCTGCTTTACGGCCATGTCAATCAAGTGGTATTCTAGGTGGCAAAATTGTATTAATTCACTACCTAATTTATATAGCATGTCTCATAAATTATCTATTTCCTACGTTTAAAAATGCAAAGAAAATGAGGCATTTTTCTTACAATGTTAACACATTCTTTTTTTTAAATTAACTTGATCACTGGATGAACCATGGCCTTTGGCAAGCTGCTTTGGCTCATGTTGCAGCATTTACACAACACTTAAGTAATGTAGCTGTCTTAGTAAGTCATGGGTTTGATTCTATAATGTATTTCATTTTCATTTCATGTGTTCAGAGGAGTTCACTTTTTTATTAGAAACAAAATTAGGTTCATCTCTGAGTGGAATGGCCAATGAAAGGAGCACTAGTGTGTGTTTATAGAAGATTCACAGTACTTGTAGTTAATTGGAAGGATGCTTCTGGCAAGTTTATAAATGTGTGGGAGGACAAGATTACCCTGATGTTTCAAAGAGAAAATATTTATTATTAAAGACTGAGATTTTTTTTATTGTGTTTACGAAAAGGGACGTTTCTGTGGGAGGATAGCTTTTTCTGATGTGATTAATTCAGATTTTATTGTTTGTCATAGCATTCATTGTGAGACAAATAATGGGCAGTTAACAGGAAGGTATTATCTGTAGCACTGGTAGGATGGATAATCTTTGGGAAGGGTTAAATATATTTTTATTGCAAGAAAAATGGTAACACGTTTAGTTGGAATCCTGCTTGAAGTACAAAAGTGTTAAATTGTATGCATGGCAATGTTTTCCTTTCCCTGCCCCTCCCCAACCAACAAGTGTTCAGGTGTCCCGATCCATGCTGTGATGATAATACTGCTGTTAATAGTCAGTTATTGTGCATGTTTCCAAAACACAGCCTCCACTTAGTGGCCAGAATCTCCATCATAAACTGAAGCAATTGAGGTTTTCTCTCAACCTTTCTGATAAACATATCAATGGACTTGGGCTGCCACAGCCCAGACCGCTGTACACTAATGCCACTGCATGTTACTTAAACTGATGGCACACCTTCATCTTTACTTGCATTTGAAATGGTTTGGTTTAAGTCAAACCAAAGTATACAAAATCAAAACTTTTTTTTTTTACAAGGGTGTGTTATGGGTAAATGCCTTTTATAATTTCTTAAGGGATAAAATGAAATCTTAAGGTAGAATTGCTCTGAGGTTAATTCTGAGCTTGGGAGTGTATAAGTAACCTGTGATGATTAGAGTTCATTGCTCCAAGTGTCTCTTCAGTACATAATTTATTTCTAGTGCTGTATGCAAGAAACTAATCTTTTTTGAGCTTTGACTGCTAAGATGGGTACGTTAGCCTTGAAGAAGCAATGCTGTCTGGTATGGAGAAGAGCCAGTGTAAGATTTTTATCAGCAAAACAACAGAGACTTCATATGCCAGGTAGCCGTTGTTCAGCGTAATGACTGGCACTCCAGAGCTCTTGGCTCCTTCAGCCTAATGTCAGTGGCACAATTCAGAGCTGTTCATATTTTTAGAAAATGAACCTAATATTGTTTGGGCTTGTACTACAGTATTTCTAGAGAATATCGCAGAACCATTTCTTTTAAAAGAATAAAAATTTTAGAAGTGTCGTATCAAAAATAGTGGCAAGAACAATGGAGACTTTATTATATTGGAACATCTAAAAGTTAAAGTATTGCCAGCTAACATTTAGCATTAATACTTGATATTGATCCTGCTTGAAACGGCTACGACTTATTTTAGAGATTTTTTTTTTTTTTTAAATCGTACTTAGTGTCATCTTCAGTTATGAGGCTTGTGTTCACAGAAAAGGTGGACTTGATTACATGCTAATACTGTAAAATGAAGCTGTGATCTGGACAGTATTTGTGTGTGTGATTGCTGAAATCATAATTTGACTTTGATTCTGGTTTTCCGAATGATCCATTTCACTCCATACTTTTTTCCCCAAAGCTATTCAGTGTCAAAGGTAAAAATCTGAAGTTAAGTGTTTAGTCACTGGGTGTCTGTTCAGAATTTGTGTGATGTGAACTGGCTTGCTCTATGAGCTGCCAAAAATTAGTATGGCGAGTGCTCTCTTAAAGACAGCGTGCTAAGTGAACTGAGAGAGACTTTCTACCCAAGTATGAGTTTTTTTGATTAAAACCGGTTTGCTTTGTTTTAATCCATTTTTAAACTTAAATTAACTACTGTATTCTGAAGTATGTGGCAAACAAAGCATTGTGGGGTATTGTCCTTTACTTAGAATTACTGCTGATGTTTGTTAGTGACAAAAATGATAACTTCCTTCAAAATCCTTTTTCTTCATTTTGCTCATTTTGTTGCAGGAGGCAAAGACAAATTAATGGATGAAGCATAAAAAGTGCTGGAAGAAAGTGTATCTGCAAAACATTATTGAAATGGGCAAAGAAGAATTTAGCAGAAATTGATTTGTATTGTCGCTTCTGTCAATCATTTAAACTTATGTTTTGTTTGTGCAAAACTTTCAAATTATGGAATATTTAGCTCTGAAGAGGCTATCCCCCAGAGCTCTTTGTCCTCAAATTGAAGTGACTTATTGCAGTCTCATTAGAATTTTGTGGCAGATCAAAAAAGTGAATTCTTTCTGAAAAATGTAAGTGGGTGGGTGGGGAGGTTGTTGTCTTGAAAACCAAAGCAAAACACTCTTAAGGTCTTCTTTGCTTACTATGGAAGATTAAAATAACAAAACAAAACCGTCCATTCAACTGGTTTTCTTTTACCAGTTATATTTAAAGAGGAATCAGTTTGAGACTTAGACTTACATTATGTAAGTTGTATACTCTGTGTAGGTATAAGTGACTAATATTGGTAGCTAATGTTGGTGTATGGTTGTAACATATTTTAGTTTTGTCCGTTGGGCAGATTTTTTTTAAGTATAGTGAGTTCGCTGTTTTATCCTATACAGTAAATTAAACTCTCATCTTGCCAAAGTCTGCATTTGTATTAACTCTACCAAGATACCTTCTGAATTCAGTGTGACTAACCATTATGCCAGTTAGATGTATCTGTTTGCAGCACCAGGAGTTTCTTCTTCATCTATTAGCTGCTTGTTTTCTTGTCTTATAAGTAAGGGAATGATAAAATAGATTTTTATATGAAATATAGCATACTGATGATGATAAAAACATGAAAAGGGCAGGCATTTTTGGAGGCTGGTAGAGATCCTGAATCTATTCTATTTTGAATTGACCTAGATCTCAAGTTGGTAATGAATTTTAAATAGCAGCTTTATTGAAATGTCTTTCACAATCATACTATATTAATATTATATAATTGAGCTTGAGGTTGGCCCAATAGACAAATGCATTCCATCTTCAAGTTTTGGAATAGTATATCATGAGTGAAAAATGAAATAAAATGTTTGAGGTGCTGTTTGCATATTAAGCCAGGGCCTGAAGGGGTTTCATGCCTTTCTGGGTGTCTCAGTCATTTTGATGTTAGACTCCTGTAATTTTGCTAAAATATACTTCGTTGAACAGGAGATATCCGGAAAGCCTTGCATTAATTTGCTTTTGTTTTTGCTCTTTAGACAGTGCCCTGTTATAAACTAAAATCACACATTCCTGAGTGTAAACTGATCGTGTTCCCAATGGAAATTTCAGGAATACTTGTGGCTATTTTAAAAATGTGGAAATCTATTTATATTTTTTTCCACTTGTTTTTCTTCCTAGGTTTTGGCGCTGATTGCTTTCATCTGCATAGAGACCATCATGGAATGCTCCCCTTGCGAAGGCCTTTATTTCTTCGAGTTTGTGAGCTGTAGTGCATTGGTGGTTACTGGAGTTCTGTTGCTTATGTTCAGTCTAAATCTTCACACAAGAATACCGCAGATCAACTGGAATCTTACTGTAAGTTCATACAAATCCTCACTCTGTTAAAAATAGCTGCAAATCTGTTTTTAAGTTTGGTTTTTGAACTTTACTTTCTACTGTTGTTTAAGATTGTGTATGAGTGTTCTTTATGCTGAGTAAAGTATACATTTTACTTATATTTATTTTGAATACTAAGAGCAGAATGAGCTTTGAAATGTAGCAAGATTAAACTACATTAAATAGAACTAAAATTGTCTTCTGGTAGATCTCTTTGGAAGGAAAACTTCCTGCTAATGCCAGCAATTACTGTTTGTGAGTGAAGTGGATAAAAATGCAGCCTGTAGTTATTTAACTTTGACAGATGCTGTGTTTACAGTAGCCCGTTGTTCTCTCTTAAGCTGTTTTTTATATTAGGACAGCCATACTACATATATTTTCTTACACAGATTAATACAAGCATCAGGTAGTAATGTAAAAAATTATGTGCTTTCTGTGAAAATCAGGTGTTTTGAATTGCTTACACACATAACTGTTATACATTGACTGGCAATGCTTAATGTGTTCTCAAATACGAGCAGTTTTAGGAAGAGAACTGCTGGCAGTGCACATTCCTTTTGTACAAGTCTCCGTTTCCATGCTGTATTACGAGTTAAAATTTCAGATTGGGTTGCATAAACACAGGTCACACAATCAACATGTTCGTCACTCTAGCAAAAGATCTGTCAGCTTCAAGGACAATATTTATATCAGCTTCTTTGGACAGTACAGATACATATGTGCCTATGTTATGTTTTGTTTTATAACAGTAATTTTGTAAGTACTCTTGGAGACCAGTCCCAGAGGTTTCTAGGCTTCTGTGTGATTATTTGTTTGGTTTTAATGCAGTTTATTAATGGTGCCATTTGCATGTTCAGTAACTGTTTGTAAGCCTAAATGACTTGTCTAAAATGAGACTGGAATGTGGAATTAGAAGATTCTTTGCACCCTGGAGATGCATAATCTATTGAGGAACTCTTCCTAAGAGTACTTGGTAGATAGATTAGGTGGACTGAGAACTGTGACTGGTAACTGTAGGTGGGGGAGATCGAGATGGCTTGCACAACAAAACCAGTGGAACCACTGGAACGTTACTGGATTGTCTTGCCTTTGCTCCTTTTGTCTCCATTCTGCCATTCAGTCACCACTTATTTGTGTGGCAAGCTGAAACGCAGCAGCTGCAGAGAGAAGGTAGTCTCTCTTTCTGTTGCCGGCTTGGCTGTTTAATGAGCATCGCAGCAGCCTGAGAGCTGATAACAGCAATTGCAGACCATCTTTTTATGTCACACACTTCTGTACACGCTAGTAGGATGTACAAGAGCATGATAACAAGTGTGTAAGTGCATCAGTGTCACACAAAATATGATGGTTTTGCTGTGTGACACGAGTGGTTTCATAGTGAATACTAGATCTAGCTTATTGTCAAAGTAGGTTTGACCAAGACATTTTATCAAGAGACCACAGAGTAGTGGTATGCATGGTGTCCATGACTGAGCTGAAGTTGTATCTCTGGAAGAGTCAATTTAATGACTTTGCTTACCCTTCGTTCTGTATGTCTGTACCTTTTGTTCTGTTGTTGAGCCCTGTGGCACACTTTTACTGCCTACCAGAACACTTTGACAATATGTTGAACATACATTCAGTACAGAAGCCTATATGCAGCGCTCTGCCTTTCTTCCCAAATAATGCAGTAGATATCGGTGTGTAACTGGGAGGTCCTTTCAGCCACCCTGACTTCTTATGGTAGTCGAGTGACAAGAATTGCAGCTTTGAGTACAGGGTTACTTGTCTCTGCAGAGCAGTCTGTTAGACATCTTTACAGAAAAGAGGGCTGAAAAATCCAAGCAGTTGTGGTGTGGATTTTTTTTTTTAAGTTAAGTATTTTGGGTTTTAGGGCAATGGCCACACTTTGAACCCCCTGCCTAAACAGCATGGAGTGACATGACGCGGTTGGAGTTCAACCTGAAGGGCAAATGGAATACACTGCAAATGCGTTTTGCTTTAGTTCATCTTGCCAAATCAGCAGAGGTAGAAGTAAATTGTCATGATCTCACAAGTCTCATTCTCTTGGTTATGTACTGAAGATGAAATGCTTCTTCCATCATTATACCAAAGATCTCTGATAGAAGTGAGAAGAGAACGGAAGCTTCTGACTTTCATTAACTGATGAGACCATCCTTCTTCCTGGTATTGCTTACTGATTTTAACAATCGTTAGTCAGGACCGTTACTCTGAGAGGAGTGTGGGAGTATCTTCATTATTCAGATAGCTGTAGTCTGCTGTTGCACGTACAGAGTGGGAGATCAAAGCTGCTGATAAAACACCTATGGGATATTACTTTGGCAAAGTTAGTAGGAAATTTAAGAATGTAGAGTTGTGGCTGAATGCTTTTTTGGCTTATTTTTGCATTTTATTCTTTACAATTTAGATGTATATTCGTACATTATTTGCCTCATTCAGTATTTAGTACTTTCCTGTGTTTTGATGGTTATTTTGATAATTTTGCAGCCTCTATATATGACACAGTTATCACAGGAGTTGCTTTCTGAACAAGACTTTCACACTCTTGGATGCTTTAGGAGGAAGTCACTTCTGCTTATGTATAAATTCATTAATACACATGCTTTAAAAAAAATATATGACTTTATAATGGGTATTTCCCTTACAAAAAGTCTCAAATTTTGATTTTAGAAGCTGTGTGAGAAGAAGAGACTGTTACAGTGCTTGAAAGAATTTAATAGTCTTAAATTTAGGAAGAAGACTTTCTTTAAACACAGCACTTGCAGAAACTTCCTAGGAACTATTTGAAACTATTTGCTTTCAAATGATCCTACTTATTAGAAAGTACCAGGCTATCAACTGCTATTGTCCAACACAGGGTTGTTTCCTTTAGTACTTTATTAAAATTAGACTTCTTTCTAATGCGTTATGGATATTGTCTGATGTCTGCTATCCCTGGTTGGAATGAAGGTGTGAATCAGTATATACTAGCATCTAACAGGTATGCAGATTTACTAAATTTTTTTAATATATATTTTAGCCATTTGGGGAAGAGAGCTTTGTTTTGATCCTAATTAGAGACTTGCCACCCGTTTTCACATTTTCCTGAGGTGAACATGAAAGAAACATGGAGATGGTGAGGCTGGAAAAGAACCTTGCTTGGGTGTGTTGGAAAGAGGCAGGTCTGTTACAGTAAGATGAAAGAACAGTCACTTGTCTGTCTTGCGCAGCACTATCAATATTATGCAAAAATGCGAAAGCTGAGGAACCTGTCAGTGGAAATTTCCATTTCCTTTATGCTTCCCAGCTCAAAGGGAGCCTATTCTGCAAGGAGACTTGCAAGTGGCATAGGGGAATTAAGAGTACACCACAGCAGAGACTCCTGCTTAACTGATGAGCTGCTGCTTTGAAATGTTTGTTTTCAGAGTTAACTAGTAACTGAATGTTTGCTATAATTTTGTGTTTGGCTAAATTCTCCCCCCCTTTTTTCTAATTACTATTCATTATTTGAATCTTGTGTTCTACAGGGAGAGATTAAGATCCACACGGTTTGGCCACAAGATAACATGGCCCTTTAGAAGTAGGGATGGGGTAGGAAAGTTAACAGTTCTGTTTGGAGTAACTTTGGTGTTCTGAGGAATTTGCATGTGGTTTGCCAGGTTTCTGACAATTACTGTCACTGCAGAGTAGATCCACTGTAATGCTGCAGGACCTTTTTTCAGGGCTGAGAACTGAGATGACTTGGGGAGTGGGAGAAGTGGTGGCAAATAGCTGAGAATACTGAAATTTGACTGTCTCTCTTGGATGAGAGTTTGTATGATGAGAGAAATCGGAGTCATTAACAGACATAAATCATTGCATAATCAGCCAGTAGAATGGACTATGTCTGTGTGTAGAGAAAAAAAATCTTCCAATAGATTGTGACCATTGATTTAAAAAAAAAAAAAAAAAAAAAAAAAAAAAAAAAAAAAAAAAATATTTTTTTTTACACTACCAGAGCTCCAGTGGGTGTTTATTTTGTGTGGGTGTGCAGTTCTGGATGCAATTTTTCAGCCTAGAGCAGCCTCAAAGATGAGGCACAGGACTGAGCCCAGCACAAACTAATTAGAGTTCTGCTGGGCTTATTAGCCTGGACTCCGTCCCAGGGAAGCACTGCTACAGGGAGGAAACATGAGGAGTCAGGTGTGTCCTTTTCAAGACACAGATCAGTGGTGTATTTTGTGCTGCCTGCAAACTTACTTCATCTTTGCAGGGTTGGGGTTTTTGTTCAGTTGTTGCAATGATGAAACCTTGTGTGCATGCAACTGACACCGAAGGAGTTGGCAGAAAATTTGATGTGGTTCCAGAATGACAAACTGTCTTATGCCAACCTTGGCTCTGAAGAGTATAATTACAAAGCTGTAGTTCAAAGGCCTTCACAGGGCAATCTTGATTTTTTTTCTTAAATTTATATTTTTCCCCTTCTGTTTTGAAAAAACATCTTGGTTTTCTTCGGCTTGCTTAGCTGTTGAATGAGAAATGAAGTCAGTCATCCTTCACTTTTATGTTTACTGCTGTCAAAATAGCAATACCTATTAAGGATAAAATTTAATATTTTATAAATAAAAAAATTGTCAGAATTAATTTCCTCTGGGTTAGTGCTCTCTGTGGGCATTTGTTCTCATTTGGTGCAGCATGGTGTAAACAATGATGCATTATTCTGTAAGAAATACAAACACAAGTTTTAAACATGAGAAATACTACATGGTTTGGTAGTTATTGCTAGTAATGTCTGTTGCTTTGTGATGATAGCTGCTGGTCCTGTCTGTGCGCAGGACTGCTTATTGGGAAAACATGCAGGGAAAGCAGTGAGGAGCAGCTAAGAACGAACTGAGAGGGAAATAGGCAGGTGATCTTCAAGAAACCAAAGTGAAACCAGGATTGTAGAAACATTCATTTGGTAATGTGTTTTGTCATTTGCAGCAGCATTACTACATCTAACAGAGCTTGTATTCTAACTC